GTTCTTCCTTATTTAATGATATACGTATTTCGGAAAAGTTTTGTACTTCTTAACATGATAATGTCTTAATCTATCTTTAACGCTTAAGTACGTAAAACAATGTATTTGGTAAGTTAAGATTTTCAAATATAATAGTACTCTATTTCATTTAAAAAGGGTATCTACTGAGTCACAGTACTATTTATTTATTAGATACTATTTGATATTACTGATAGGTACTTGAAGTTCTGATAAAATCGTATTAAAATATTGATTGAATTATCTAAACGATAAAGTCCTTATACAACTTTAAGTATAAATATTTTAACATTAATCATCATTATAACTCTAGTAACTTCACATACCAAAAGACACAAATGATATCGAGTACAGTGAACCGAATTAAATTCAACCAATACAACAATTAACCAGCCAAATGCTCTAACAGCCACTAGTTTTATATATCCGTTTAAATGGGACATACGTATAATACAATACATTGTACATTATATTAGCATACTTCCACTAGTTATGATTCAATATAGGTAACAGCTGCCTACATATTTGTAATTCAGTAACTGTGTTGGCAGTGTATCTATCATTAGATAATTAATATGTACGAAGGTTAATGTTTACATAAGCACGTCCCACATCAACTGTAATCAACTGTGACAACGAACAAACCCCAAGATTTAAATAAAAACTGTTTTCATATATAATGTTACCTATATAAGCTCGTTAAAGCCTTTGAAAACATGACCCAGATGTAAGACAAATTGTTTAATTCATTTGTTTTTGGTTTTATTTCTTTAAAAGTTTAATTTTGACTGCACGGTTGGTGCGGTGGCTGGGCAAACGGCTGCCGTGCAACGTGGCGCGGGTTCGATTCCCGCACGGGACAACACTATGTGTGATCCACAAATTGTTGTTTCGGGTCTGGGTGTCATTGTGTATGTGAACTTGTATGTTTGTAAACGCACCCACGACACAGGAGAAAATCCTAGTGTGGGGCAACGTTTATTTAAAAAAAAAAAATTATGCACATTACAACAATACATCAGCAGGCTTATTGCTATGAACATTATCTTCCAGCCAACCTTTAAACATTTAAAACTACCAATGTTCTCTGGGCAAGAAATGTTAATTATAAATTATTCAAGACCCTATCTAACCTTTGATTATTTTATTTCAAATCTGTAACTACCCATAAGGAGTAATATACCTACAAAACCTACATATAAAATTACTTAATTTCATTTCATTTGTGTTAAGAATGATTGTAATAGACAGTGATGTTTATTCACAATCTTAGATCTCTTAAATGAATGTATAATTTTCTGAAATATGTCATTAAATGGATTTACCGTTTTACTTGCTACTATTTTGTTGTTTTGTCGAAGCTATTTCCTTTCATATGTCCTTGGTGTGGCCTTATATACCAAATACTATTTACAATACTTCCAACGTGTTTCGTAACATTTTACTTTAATATTGATAAACTTGCATTCAGGCTGACATTAACTACCGAAAAATAATTATTTTGTAATAAACTTTGCGATGAAACTAAATCAGATTGGTTTAAAAGGAATTTGTTTTTTTTTCTATACAGTCTATACAATATATGGTTTATGTATAGTTTTACGACTTTTCAAGTTATGTAAAGTAAAAAACATCCAGACAAGAACGTTCATGCCCTTAGACAGGAATATTCGTTTAAATGACTTTTTGACTGCACGGTTGGTGCGGTGGCTGGGCAACCAGCTCCCGTGCAACGTGTCGCGGGTTCGATTCCCGCACGGAAGAACACTTTGTGTGATCCACAAATTGTTGTTCCGGGTCTGGGTGTCATTGTGTATGTGAACTTGTATGTTTGTAAACGCACCCACGACACAGGAGATAATCCTAGTGTGGGGCAACGTTTTTATAAAAAAAAAAAAAAAATGGAAATAGAATTATTTTCATTGCCTGAACGTGAAGCCTTAAATTGTTATTGGATATTTATGGCCGTGGATTCAACAAACAAATTAGAATTTATTATTTAGGTTTAGAATAATACTGTAAGATATTTAATTCCACATCGTAACACATGTTATTACTTTTATTGCATTTGTACAAAAATAATAAAGAAGAAAATATTTCATTGCCCGCTGCCTACCGCTAAACTAAAAATTACCTCAAAGTATAAATAAGTTAACAAGATGTTTATATTATTGGGTGTGAGTAGCTATATGTTAAATGAAATTGATTATCTCCTGGGATATGTATAATTAATATTCTTATAGATAGTGATGAATCGCTTTCATATAACTATGTTTTCAATGCTGTCTATCTTACTGCGACATAAATATTTAATATTTTTCGACAACAATATGTTATGCCTACTAAATATATAAGTATTTTACTGAATATGTTCAGAATTTCTTACATTTCTGGTAACATATGGATAAAGTTTATTCTACTTCATATTTATAAGAACTGTAAACCAATGTTACGTCACTCTTCTACACAGATCCTTTCGGCTTCGAGAAACTGGTCCAAAAGTAAGCAAAATGGTAGCCAACTTTTCGCTTTAAAATTATTACGAAACGAATCCACAGATGTTACCTAACTAGATCAGACATTCGGAATAAATTATGTACATTAATTTTAAATCTTCAATGTAAGTACTTAATTAAGGTTACCGTTTATAATACAATCCACACGTCATAAAGAACACCTGATCTAGATATGTACAATGTACATACACCTACAAATGCAGTTTAAAAGGCAGCTTACGTAATCAGATCACGCAGATCAATTGGTTGAACACACAAGTCAACATTATTCCCTTTAGGTAATTTGAATACAAGTGTTGTCTGCTGCCGAGCTTTGGTTATAAAGCCAAGGCGTTTTAGACGTACTCGTAGTTAATTTATTAATAGATATAAAAGTGAATCGTCGAAACCCGTACGTGTATGACTTCCGAGCGTATAAAACTTCCGTACCAAGTTGGATCTTTCTTTCTTCTTTATTTACCTGTGCGAAGTGGGGCGGGAAGATATAAAACAAACTTTATTTTATAACCTACTACTAAAAATATAACATAAACACTACTGCATAATTATACATGTAACACGAAGTGTTTAATTCCACCTGCTGAACTTTTCTTGATAATATTAGGTACTTTAGATAAACACCTAAAATTAATTCGTTGAATTTTAAGTCTAAAGTCTCAGAGAATATAAAAGAGTCATATAATAGCATACTTATTCATAAAATGACAAAGACAGCAGGAACGGTACGGAGAAAGAATTCTCACCCATCTGTGGTTCCAACCTAATGGGATGGTAGATGCGTAGTTTCTCACAGGCAATGGGATATTGATGTGTTGTTGCGTGAGAATATGGGATGACTTAGGACCGTACATTATAGTTGTATTACGGAATGACATAACGGGCCAATGTCGCCGGTTGGCCGACCAGGGACGGCGAACGGCGACAGGTGCACACGGCGCCCGCGCCTCTAATATGGCGCCACCTGCGTAGATACAATACCGACGCGAGCCTCTCCACGGACTATCATGTTACATTATTTCAACATTACCACTCCATCTTCACATCAGTACACAACAGTACAATGTTTATACTACATATTATTTATTACGAAACAAAGTACATTTTTGTTTTTGTTCGAAGACTAATCTAGATTAATTAAGATACAAACTTTTTAAGATGTAAAAAAATTATTCACTTTCATGTTATAAGGAAGCTGCTACTTTACAACTAATTTTTGAGATCTCATCGTTTTCTAACCATAAATGATTAAATTTACTACGCTAGAACGACTATAAATAACGAAACAAGTACAAAATAGACACCATGTGCGTGTTTTGTGTTTAAATAAGTATGTAACTAAGAGACTAAAAAATAGGAATAAATAGTATTGCGTTGCAATACAAACATTTTAATCAAATTCAATAATGGATTAATTGCTTCCAAGGAAGACGCGTATGGATTAACAAAATAATGAACGTAGCAAAATTAGTAGTATCTATTTCGAAACGTGGAATAAAAAAACTTCTTGAATCTTGATCTGCTGCTGATTACAATTACCGCTCGGTGGGAACATATTGCATTAAGAACAAAGGGGCCTTGAAGGAGGCGCTACGCTCGGGTGCAACCTCGTCTACTCATGCTGTGCCTTTGTTGCTATTCTCACTATCCTTCTCAACAATAACCCACGCGGATAATTAATGCAATAGGCCGAGGGCTAATGAACTGCAACCATTATGAATTTAATTATTTTTATTAACAACGAACAACCTCTGGTTTTTCTCACTGTATGTTGTAAAGCTGTACTTGCGAATAAATAATATACTGAGCACTGTTCTTTACTGATAGAATCAGTTGAGTACCTACTGGTACTCAGTACCATATTGGAAACTAAACAATTTGTATACGCTTTTTTTTTAAGGGCGGAAAATCATCGAATGTCTGCTCCCGGCCTTAGTGTCAGACTCTTACTGACTAAAAACCACCCCGTTCCTTCTCTTGCACGTCGAGCCGGGGCCCCGGTTACCCGTTAGGTTCTCCGCGACTCCGAATCGGCATCGGCCCTATTGGGCCCCATCAGTGGTGGTCTGATGACTCTTTGAGGCGCGCGCGGAACGCGACGCGCCATACGCTCAGGAAATTGTATACGCTTAAAGTATTATAAATAAGCAGCTTAAAAATAGCACAAACATTAGATAAACGGACCGGCATGGTAGGTGAACTATAAGGTCTCAAAACAGCTATAATAAAAGATTTTATCAAAAAAAACCGTAACAAAAAGCATTCACGGTAAAAGCAACAAACAGAACCGCTATAATTATCCATTTGTTATACATCTTACAACCTATTTCCTATCTTATTATCCTTTTAACCTCTGAGACCTTTGATCTTTGATAGATTAGCCCCTGACAATATTATGAAAAATTAGCACTTTAAATTACCTGCAGTAAATTAGTATAAATTTCTTATATGTAATTATAACTTACTTACCCTTATGCATTACTATATGATCTTATGTAACATATGTCTTGTTATAATTTTTTACAAGCTTTTTTATGATTCCAATATTACATTTTGTCGACAAAAAAAAAATATTTGGTAAATAAAATTATACAGTGAATGCTTTGCGACGACTATACCAGTACGGGTTTTTTTGCAGCTGAGTCATCCCTACGGGAACCCACCTTAGTTTCCGACCATATTGTATTTAATTGCTTCGCTACCAATGCCCAAACGCCATTCAACTTTGAGATAGTCTTAATAGCACCTGTTACTGTCGCTACAAACACAAGTTGGAGTGAAAGAAACAGCGATAGATCTAAAGCAACATTATTTAATGTTGTGGAACATAAGTTTTGAAATACATTTTTTATTGTAATGTACTTTTCTAATGCAATCTCCTGAAGATGGCATCTTTTGAAGTTATATTTATTACGTCGGTGACGTAGTACCTACAATCAGTTACTCATACTCATTGTTAACTCCATACAAATATTTAAATATCCTAGTTCTACCAAGTTATTCCGGCTCTGACTGTTTGCGTATGTGTGAGCTGCGTTTGTCAACGCATACTCAATACAGAAGTTCTCAATTTATTTAACGGGTTTCCAAAAGATCCATTAAATTCAAAGATCCACTTAGTACCTTGCGTAACAAGTATTTTTCTACGCCAAGATAAATGTATGTAAGTAGCAAAATTAATTGGTTAATGACTAAGACGCTAATCAGAATTAATAATGGCCGCGATGGCACTACCAGCCGCTTCGATAGTTTTATTTTAGAACTAACCACTTTAGCATTGACTTATAACACTATTTATCTTTTCACAACATCTGAGTAATTATGTCGTTAAGAAACTAATTACGCCAAAGTTTAAGATTTATTTCATTCAAGCTCTTAACTAAATTTAACTCCATTTAAAACAAGTTCATTTAATTTATACCTAAAGGACATGTTTGTAATGTAAGTACAGAGTTACTGTTAAGTATTTCACATAACCTAATATTGAGAAAGGTGTACTCAATTATTCTCTTAAGATAATATATTATACATATAATTTTCAAAATTTAAAGAAAAGATTTCATTCGCACTCAGGTGCGTTCAAAAAGAATTGTGATTAAATAGCAAATGATATATGTACAGTACAACGTAAAAGAAGTAAATCTCCAAGATTTAACTTCGTGGTCTGAAATAAATTCCGGTTAAGTTAAACCGACCAATTAACGCCAACATGTACGAGTATTGGCGTGAAGTCGCAAAAAAATATAAAGACGTCTGCACGCGAGGCACAGTCTATTTTAGGAACCCTATCTCCATGGTAACGAACTCTTTACAGTCTATACTTGTCTTTAGACAATGCAAAAAGTGTCCCCACACTAGCAATAGTTTCCAAACATGTACAATAGACAACACGAGAAGAGAAAACGTACTTATAGTACCGCATTGTTTGTCTAAATATTCATATATGGTAACGTATGACCAAGGCTGGCGACCACGTCATCTGTGTCACAGTGATTTAATTGCCAAATCGAATTTATTATGTGATTAAAAGTCATTTAATAAACTAGTGAATGGAATTAATTAATTCAAACTGCAAAAGATCAAAAATAGCAGAATGTCTTAAATGTTTTCTTAAATGGTAATACGAACATTTTAACAATACTTAACAATTCATTCGTAGTTAGTTTAATGGTATTTGTTAGTACACAATACTTAAATGTTAGTATCATCAATTTGCTTTGAGAAAGTTTCATGTCAATCTTGTTCATGTATAAACTCAGCTTAAGAAAACTTTTACTAGAAAGAAGTACTTGTTAAAATTCTTCGGCGCTTAACAAAAATAAATTGTCTTTCTTATGAGATAGGTGTACATAAAGTACAAAAAATTTATTTTTAAAACAGTTTTAAAGGAAGTCCTCATTTGCCATTTAATAATTTGGACATTTGGCAAGGATATTCACTTTTGGGAAACTATTCTGAAATATGGAACAAGTAAGAAACAAATTGGATAAAATTTAAAATCAAAGCAACTCGTATAAATTCTGGTATATCTACCTCTACAATCTACACCGTTGAAATAATATAAAAAGGGTGAAGATAATTAGTCGGAACACTAAGGATCAAAAGATCTGAGATACTAAATTAAAAAACAGGTATTTGGAGGCAGAAAGCATTAAAATGACAAGGCTTACCAGAAAAGGAACTTACCAAACTTTTTACGACTCATGCCGGAATACTGAAACTGTACTCAATTTTAAGTCGTGCTTAAATATCGTGCCATCTCTGTCTTTTACAAAGAATTTGTAGAGACAGAACTATACTTAAGCACGACTTAAAATTGAGTAGCGTTTGAGTATTCCGACATAAATTAAATTTGTTTTTATCCGACAGGAAAGTGAGAATTCTTATTGGACATACTTAACGTACCACTAGAGGACTTAAGTGAAGTTTCATAAAATCTTTTCTACTGTTTATTTATGTAGGTATTACAATGTATGTTATTGATAGACTACAAAATAAAATAATTGTCTTCAGTAAGGCTTAATATAAGAAGTAAAAAAGTAATTGTTCAGTAGTGGACATTATGTAGGTAACACAACGATAATAATGCAGCCTTACTATTTACAACAATAAGTTGCTATCATGAAAAATATAGGTTGCTATTCCATTGCTGACTCTAAAATCACATTTGACCTATAAAAATCGCATTTTCCTGTAACATTGGTCTGATAACAAGTACAATGAAATAAACGTGAGCATTTATTAGATTTTGTGAACTGTACGGTAATGTTAAAACTTTAACATTAACACCAATTGGACAATGTAGGTCTTTGCTTAGCAACTTAGTATATTATTCCAGTTTCGCATTACACCAGTCGATTGCATCACCGACCGTAATGTCAGTGTACCGGATGCAGTAATGGAAAATCAACTTATCCTTACATGGAAACTGCGTAGGGCACACACTGGCTTTAAGTATTATTAAAGATATTTAAATGACTATTACTCATTCCCACATAATTTGCATTTCTATACATATCTGGAGCCTATCTACCTTTTAGTTCTTTCTTTGAAGCTATAGATGTCTTCATAGTAATTGATTTATATTGTATGAACATTACTCATTTCAGATTGAATCATACTACCTACCTACCTACTATCATATTGACTATCATTATATAAAATGTATCGGTTTTTTACCACCTTAGGTGATGACCTAAGGTGGTAAAAACGATTGCACGATTGCACGATGGTGCAAACACTTGGAAGAGCATCTTGAAAGGACTTTCACTGGTCGAAAGTTTCGGTTTTATATATATGTACCTATATCGTCAGTGAATATTTGTTCTTGTTATAATGTGATACTTAGTTTAAGCACGAAACATCAATCAGGGTTTTAGAGGGAAGTGTTTCGACGTATACATTTTAATTTTATTTGTTTGTTGATTGAGATAGGAAACTCTAACTTAATGGTTTTGAAGAATCTTATAGAAAGGTCATAGCTGTTCAGCTCAAATTGAGACGAGGACTTCTCCTCGTCTCCATTTGTTTAGGGATTGACATTCATTACATCTCCTGGCGCTATATCTAAAAGCTCTTCATGACTCTAATTAATTTGTCAATCATCGATCTGGTCAACATTATACATTTTATAAAATAAGCTTAGAATATTTCTAATCCATATAGCAAAACTTCTAAGCTTTCATCATTACTAACTATATAATGTAACTGCGGATACACTCTAATCAACCCAAAAGAGAGATGAACTGGTAAACTAGAAGAACTAGAAAAGTTTTTGGTTCACAGATTTTATTTCTATAGAATTCAAACCTTCAAACAACTATTTTCAAGTCGGCTGACACGTGTTAAATTTCACAAGTAGGTATCGGCCCACTCAGGTCCACTTTGTCAACATCACAGCTGTCGAAGAGTCCCGCTCGTGGAGATATAAAAAGACATTCGTGTAACCTAATTTTTAAAGAATCTTCTAGAATAAACTTGATTTTCGAAGTAAATTTAGATAATATAACCACATTGGGCACCTATCTATCATTTCAGAAAATAAAATCCAAAATGTTCATGATATTTTCTTAGAGGAATTAGGAACTAGATAGTCGCTTCATAATAAAAATAAAACAAACGAGTTCGTTATGAGTTTTTTACATTCTTTCGTACCGTCATGAACTAATTTTCTCATGGAAACAACAGCTCATGCTGTTGTGTAATGACTTTTTAGAATAAACTACTGATGTACTTTTACCAAATTAGAGGTATATACTGCAGTCTGCATCTACATATATTTTATACCCAATCATACATATAAGAATGATTTTCTTAAAAATATCTGTTTACTGCAAGAAATTGGCATTCGTCATAGTTTCTCACCAAAAGGATTGGATTTTTGTTAGGATTTCCCAGACCAAAATTTGAGGTCACCAAATTATTAGGTCTTCCTTATGACCTTGTTGGTACCTATTCTCAACCACAGTATTCTGTTGTGGTTCCTGTTTGCATGTTTCAATGTTTTAAACTTGGTAACCCTACAAGTGTCCACGTAAGAGTAATAAAGCACGTTGCAGTGAAACTATCTGGTTTTGCAATTCTTACTGTCGCCAATAAGTTCCGATGCAGTGTACATTTACGTAACAACGCCATTTAAAAAGCTTGAGATACGCTTTGTGAATTACTTAAATATTACCTAGAAAATTGTGGTTATGGGCTGTTATTCCTAGAAGAAGTTGTTAAGACATCTATCTTCAAAGAATTAATTCATTTTGTTAGAAAAAAGTCGCCTGTTAGACAGGTTTTATATAGTAATGTGACGACGCTAGGAACCTTTATTATGTATTATGTTTAATGCAGCAGTTATCATATAAGCACAGTTGTCAGTTAATCTTTGGTGACAATATTTAAATAGCCAAGTGAAATGTTTAGTAACCCAATTAGAGTATCATAAAATTTTAATGAGAGAAAAATGAGCTGTGAGTTCCTCGTTAATTA